ATTTTGTGCCACAGAAGCTCTTGTGCATTTCATATTTGACATGGTTTGTGCTATTTTGAAGAATTTTCATTAAGAAATGATCCATACCAGGGTTGAGTTAGCCCATATGCCAAGGACAGCACTATTTCAATGTTTGCTATTTACAGGTTTCACTGGACAAGTTTCTATCTTAACCAGAAATTTTATTAGTCGAAAGGCAGGGGGTAAAATTAAGTTATGTCAAGCCATGTTATTTTACAGATAAAATTCTAGCAGTTTATATTATTAGGCTAAAACAATAACAATGCCTTATCTTATTAAGTATGGGGATGCACTATTAGACTTAAATAGTGCCATTTAGGTATACTGAGATAAGATTCCAAATTCAATTACTTCAGCAGCCTTAGCACATATGCTACTTGATGTACTGCCTGGTTCAAGGAGAGTTAAACCAGATGGTATAAATGTCAGCAACCCAGCTGGGATAGTTAAGTTCACCAGATATGAACTATGCCTGACCTCTGAATCTCACTGCTTGGCACCTGTAAACTGTTTCTTTTTTCTATGCTCTTCTTCCTTAATTCTACTGTGCCAATGTATAGTGATGGGCATGGTTATCCAGGGCCAACATTTTTTATAACAAATTTGTAAAAGATGTGAGGAGTTTAGGGTATGACCTGACTAAAGAAGAAGGGGACTTTACTAAAAATAATTAATCAGAAAATTGAGGAAATGTGGAGTACTTGCAAGAAACAGAATTTCTATAAATTTAATAATCACAGTCAGAGAATTTGAGGTGCACTTAATTTTAAAAAACAGTAATTTCATTCAATACACATATATAAGCTTGACACATAAATTGTCCTTTTAAAAAAAAGACTAATATTCGCAAGCAAACATTAATAATAAAATTAGAGATGAACATTTAATAAATTTTGATTTTGAAGTAGGAATGCTTTTCATCACGATAAAGATTTACAAAAGATTTATTACTCATCAATTAATATTAATTAAGAGATTTTAAAAAAAGGCTTTCCACTTACTGAAAAAACAACTATTTCGTAAACTTTGCCATCTTATGCTTCAGCTTGAAAATATATACAGATTTTATTTTTAAAAATATTAAATTTTGTTTTCTTGGGAAGTGAGGGAAAAGGTCAGGGGGAGGGGTATAGGCATTCATGGCAAGATCACACCTGTAATGTAATCAGTTGAATTAAATCAAATGATAACAATGATCTTGGATACGGCTACTAACTGAAACAGATGATAATTTTCATTATACTTTACGGCATGTCAAAGAAATTTGGTAATTAGCTTTAGTTTTTTAATGGATAAAAAGGTTGAGGAAAGAGCCACGTTCAGAAGGAAGGGAGGGATGCTTGTTCAAGAACAGCTTAAGAGGGAAATGTTTTTAATGTATTAATTGCTTCTACTCTGAGCTAAATATCAGAGCATAAGCCATCAAGGAAGTAACAACCTTGTCTGAGGCTATTTCAAACATAACTGTTGTTGAGTGAATGGTGTCTATTTCAATAATTAATTCTCTCCTTGATAAGATATTTGAAAGTGAGTTTTGAATAGAAATATAAAGGTTGAAAATGCATATGAAAACATGAAATATTGATATCTATCAACTGAAAGTGAGTAGGTAATGGGAATTTTGATGAAGTTATTCCAGATTTCAAGACCAGGAAAACTCAAAACTATGAATTCCATATATTTGATATTAAATACATTGCCCTCATTGAATTTATCAGATATTGTTCATTTTATCCAAGCAAGATTATCATGTTTCTCATTAAATGTCTTTGTAGCTTGCTCTAACTTATTCCTCCATCTGAATATTTGTCACCACAAACCACATATTGGACAGGTATAATAATATTTAATTAAACACTAGGAACTGTTGTTTAAGCTCATGGTTGGCCTGGATTTAAGTCATTTAGTACAAGTGTTTGGCACTTATAATTTATATATTTTTGCTTTTGAAGGGTGCTAAGTTCAAAGATTCGCTGAGGCTTTGGAGTGCAGTTAGGGACATGCATTTGAGAGCCACTGCTCCATCACAGCATAGAAATCAAGCAAACTTTAAAAAGGGGAACAAATATTTTTTGCTGAACGTACCTTTAAGATTGACTATTTAGGGGCCAAACATATATTTCTAATCAAATGCAAATTAGTAAACCCCCCCCACATTTTTTTGCACCCTCTCATACTCATGCTTATGAAAACATTTGAAAAGCTGCCCTGGGGAAAAAATACACAATTTTTTACATTTTTATTTCTATTGTCAATCCAGTGTGACAGGATCCCACATCTAAAGGAACTGGACCTGATGCATATCAGTCACTCACTTGAATAATTACGGTTTGCAGAAGCCTATCTAAAAATGGTTACTAGATAATGCTTAGTGAACTACATAGTTGTTTTATTTACTTTTACCTAGCATTTTGATTAAAACAAAACAAAAAAACATTTGTTATTTCAAAGTGCACTTGAGTCTTGAGAAAAATAAATAGAAAAATCTAGATTCGGGCAAGGTGCCAAGGATAAAAAAGTTTAGGAACCACTGACACTGCCAAACAAACAATTGAGTCATAACCACAGAAACATATAAAGGTGAATGGTGAAATTATAATTGTTACTTGACAAATCATTACAATTACACTTTTCAGTGAATTGCAGTTGCAGCCATTACTGAACTGAGTGACTGTAACTGAAAATTAAACTCAAACTAATTTACATAGTGTAACAATGACTCTTGAAGTCATGTCTAAAGGATCACTGTAGAGAATCATTGAGTCAGTGTGAACTAACTAAGATGAATTTATGAAGAACGAATTCTGTATTCACAATTAACATCACTTTTCAGTGAGTTGCAGTTGAGCGACTCATTAAATTCCTAGCAGTGGAAAAAAAAGTAGGCCAAACTTTACATACAGTTCAATATTATTACTTTTGCTTTCTTATGGTCGTTTACTAAATATCCATAGATAACATATCTATAAATAAATAATAGATAACCAAAAATTATAGCTGAAAAAACTTACTGAGAGTCTAAATCTGAGAAAAGCATAACCCAATTCTCTAATGCTTTTATTATGGGAACACAGAAATCAAAAACACAAACTCGCCATTTTGCAACTTCCAAGGGACACTACTATTATTTTCATTTTTTTAAAAATGATTTAGCGGCGTTAGCATAATGATTATATTATCAGTAATGTAATATTCATGTAGTCTATTTGCATCGGTTTTCCATTAAAATGTGAAGAAAACGAATCCAATCAAAATAACTTATAGCCAACATTATATGGCCAAAAAAGGGTTTAACAACTTTTGAAAAGGGACTTTTAATTAAGTAATCTAATAAACTTTTTTTTTTTAATTACAAATATATTTTAAAATTGAGACTAAGAAAGAAAAAAGTGAACTATTACATAATGATAATGAATAAAAAATAAAGAACAATTTTTACTGAGGAAAAAAATGTAGGCTATATAATACTTTAAAAGTCAATTTTCAATGGGACCTCTGCCTCTCATTATGATTATCTCTTCTTATAAATCACTTTTCCTCGTCCCCCGAAATGCCCCATGCATAAACCACCTGGTTAGGAAAATCTAGCCTGATATGTTCGAGTGCTTGTTTTGTTAAACACTTACATATTTTAATTAGAAAATGCGAAAGAGACGGTATGCAGATGTCAATACTTAATAACATCTCATTGAAAGTTTGTGAATGGCACACTGTTATTTTCAATGAGTGCACATCACTGAAAAAAAACAAAACAAAAACAAAAATACACGAATTTTGGAAGGTACACAAAATTGATATAAATTTAACAACTTAGGATAAAAGTTTAGTTTTTTAAAACTGATCCTATATTAACCTAAGTAAAAGTTATTTTAATTTATTATTTGCTTCTTTTTTCTTTTTTAGTGCAGTCCATAAAGTACGTCCCGCTCCAGAAGGGGGGGGGGGGAGGGGTGTAAGAAAGTGTGACAGTTTGTGACAGGGGGAGAGGGTCAGGCCATGTGCCACATCACACATTTATTTAAAAAAAAATGTATTTCTAAATAATTGTAAAAAAAATTATTTTAGTGGAATTTAATAGCTTTAAAAATAATGTTCAAACATTTTCATTTGAATTAGTTTTATGTCAAAATAGCATGATATGCGTATCTCCTGAATGTGTTGTTCACGATTCCTCTCGCTAGGAGCGCTAGTATGCTGTTGCAAAGCGTTGTTTTATGTATAACCTTGCTTTCGTCTTTCCTGAAGTATTATTATTTCTATGTTGTCCGCTGCATAATTATGTCACTGTCCTTTTTATTATTTAACCATTTGGTGAGGTCAAGTTTCTCTAATATACTTCTTAACCTGTGTAAAAATATTGCATAATCGGAAGATTATCTAAAACTTGACCTAGCCTATTGTAAATGAAAAAGCAGCAGATAAATGATGTATATTATATAATTGCCTGGTCTAATTTTTGCAAATTTTGTTTTTAAATTCAATCTAGATTGAGTTACTGCTTTAATGAATAACTGTGACAACTGTTGACAATTGACTAATCTACTATTAAAGTCATTTTAATAATGTGATAGTGGAAATTTTATATTTTAATACAGTTTAATAGTGAAGTGTGTTTTAGATTAAATTTTAATTAGGTGATAATTAAAAAAAAATTGTGTTCGAAAGTGTGACGTACTTTAGGGGGAGGGGGGTTCCGAGATTTGTGACAGGGAGGGGGGTAAAAATGGTCAAAAATAGCGTGACGTACTTTATGGACGGCCCCTTATGTGGGGGGAGGGTCAATTGAATACATCTTTAAATTTAAAAAAAAAATAGCCTTCTACTTCAACTACTTGTTACAAGCTAAAAGGAAAGTAAATTGAATGTAAAGAAAAAAATACTTTCATATAAAATGAAATTTGTACATAATGACATAATGTATTGTTAAATAGGGTTGCGGAGACAAGTCATTTATCCATTAATATATATTATTTTCTCAGTCAGAGTATCTCGGCTTTTGGACGAACCATTCTCTTTACTTTGATGACACCATCCAAGCCAATCAAAGGCAATTCCAAGGTTGTTCGTAGTGTTGAAGTAAAACTTGAACCATGGCTGATTCTGTTTTCAAAAATGTGGATAGTGCACCTCCCATTCAAGTATTTCAGCTAACCAAGTTGTTCACTGATTCAACCGATCCCAAAAAAGTTAACCTTGGTGTTGGAGGTAAAAACTCAACTTTAGGCCGCTATTTGACTATATATTATTATATTTATTTTAATATTTAAATTTATGTTTACCTTTGCCTTTATTTAGTATTTATATTTTATATTTATATTAAATTAAGTAGAAAGTACTGACAGTCTACTAATTATTATTATGCTGTAATAACTTTGTATGCTATAATATAAGTTATAATTATAAGAAGCCTAGGCCTATTCCTAGCCTATTTTTTGGTGACCTCAGTCCTTCGCCTTCACAGTGACAATGACAATGGACTAATGACTAATGTGACATGGTCATGTCATGGTGTAGACTGCTGAGGACGAAATCCACAAGGCCTGGGCCTGGGATTATTCTTCTTCTAGTTCTCTACAGCAAGTCCCTCTCTCCAACCTGCTGGATATTATATATATATATTATATATATATATTATATATATATTATATATCATGTATACCTATACTATATATATATAATATATGTAATATATATATATTTATAATAATACTATGCCTATATATATATAGGCCTTATCATAGCCTAGGCCTAGTTATAGGCTACAACTACTAAAGTTATGAGTTATGGCATAAGTTATGGTTAGGCCCATGCTTACACTAGCTTAGGCAAATATTTTTACATTTTTAAGCGAACGAAAAAAAAATTGAACCGGGGAACTCAACTCTCTAATGTTTAGTCACAAGCAAACAATTGGGTAAATTTATACTCTCCGCACCACTCATTTCTCAGTGTTTTTGCACTACTTTTTTTTCCCACTCACATAGCTGCCATGACGGCAGACATGTCATGGCAACCAAGATGGCGGCTGTGTAAAAAATAGTAGTGATAAAATGTAAATTTACATTTCGGCACGCCATTTATTTTTCACAAACACCATCTTGGTTACCATGAAGGTTGTGAAAAAAAAATTGTGCAAAAATGTGTCTGCTAAAATGGGGAGGGGAAAGAGAGAGAATGTGCTGTTTTAGCTACGAAAATTAGGAACAGAACGATAAAATATAATAAAATAATGTTTTTGCGAAATACTTTCAAACCTATAGTCTACTACTAATCTAAATACTAAGTCAGTATCCCTAGTTCAAACGTAAATTCTCTCCTAACTTTAGTCCCCCCTGAAGTGAGGGTAAATTTACCTTTAAATCCCCCCCCCCCCCCCCCCCCCCCCTAAGGGAGGGTAAATTTACCTTTAAAACCCCCCCCCCCCCAACCCCCCTCTTAAGCATAAATTTAGCCCCCAACTTAAGCATAAATCTTAAAACCTAAAATCTATGACCCAACACCTAATGTGAACCCTTAAACCATGTTTTCATGTGCTACAGTTACAAAATGTACTGAAAACATCTTAAATTTGAAGAAAAAGCTTTAAATAATTTTAAAAATTTTTAAAATGAAAACCCAACTTACAGTTGTTGTTTTTTTCGGCAATCCTCCGAAGTCCGGTCCCAAATTATTTCCAATGATAACTCCTTACTTAAAAGTCTTGGGCATCATTCTGTTTTGAAATTCATGTTTGCTTTAGTGGACGATGTTGGATGGAGGTTGTCAGCCGCCGAGATGCACAAACACTCAAACTCGAGCGCATTATTACTAATCATGTGTTATCAGGGGACAACTATCGTCACGGACGCTTGGCGAGGATATCAAAATGTTGCTCAGTTCAACAACGGGATTTATGCCCACGCTGTCATTGTGCACGCGCGTGAATTTGTTGATCCAGTAGACCAGGACGTTCACACAGAAATAATTGAAGGACTTTGGATGCAAGCGGAACGTAAACTCCGCTATCAGAGTGGTTCTACTCGCGGTCTGTTTGCCAGCTACTTGGGGGCCTTTCAGTGGCGCAGCAGTCACAAGGAGAACGTTTTTGGCTGCTATTTGCAAATGCTATGCTCCAATTACAATATTTAGTATTTACTGACTGCTTTGTAAAGTGACAGTTCTTTGCAAAAGCTATGACTGACATTTTTGCTGTTTTCTAACAATGCACAATGTGCATTGCAATTTTTTTCATACAAAATAATTTGGGACCGTACTTCGGAGGATTGTCTTTTTTTCTAATACTTATACACCTCTACACACTTTAAAGCAGGTTGCACCAAAAATAAAATCCAAAAGTTGTCGGAAAAAATCAATACCCATTTAAAAAAGATGGTCAGATTTAGCCTTGTTTTAATTATTATAAATAACCACCCAATGAAATATTAATTTAAAACATTCCATTGCCTTATTAATTATAAAAAAAAGGAAAGTTAACCCTAATAAAAATCCAACAATAAACAAAAGGGAGATAACCCTACACAGAAACTCAAAGTGGTGCTGAACTTTCATTAGCCAAACATGTCTGCTAAAATGGGGCGGTGTAAGGGAAAGAATTTGTTTTCTAACTACTTACCGAGAGAAATTTTTTAAATAGAAAAACATTGAAATAAGTAAGTTTTTTGAAACTTGCAGTGCATAAAAATGATAATCTTAAAGAACATTCAATAAATGTTTGGAAAAGGGGAAACATTCAACAAATAATAATGTAAAAAATTAAAAATCAGCATTTTTAGAGTAAAACGTTCAAGCCTATAATCTATATACTTTAATATAAAAAATATAATGGGTGATTGTGAAGTATGGTGTAGTGAGCGTATAGTGTAGGCACTTAGGCTTTGGTAAAAATTTCAAAAATTTGTAAAAATATAAAATACTAGCAAACACCATGTAAAAAAATTAAGCCAGAATCAACTCTCAATGGATATAAAATTAACTGAAGCTTATATTTAAAAAAATACAATAAATATATATTCTTTTTATTTTTCCTTTATAAATAATAATTTATCCAATTTTGCAGTTTATAATATTTTGAACTTACCTCCAATAAAATTTCCAAAATACAAAGTTTTAATGTTATGTAAAAAAACAAATTTCCATTGTGTTGTATGTTGCATTGAGAATGTCACCTAGGAAATTTGAAAATTAAAAAGTTGTGTGCAAAATAGGGCACAAATGTGGAACATTGGTCACATGTTTTTGTCATTCAATTATTAAAAATATAGATAAATAAGCAGCTTCAAAATTTTACCAAAAAATCTTAACTCCATAGAAAGTTGAACTTTATGTTTTTGTAAAGCTTAGCTATCCCTTTAAAATGATGTATTGTTTATGACTAAAGGACAAAACTTTAAATTTCTGTCAAAATATTTACTGACTGATATTTTTATGGAGAATTGACTTGTCCAATCAACAGACTTTTCATTATTTTTATGTTATAATTATTTATGGTTTAGGTTAAAAAAGAAGAGACCTATAGCATTGGCCCATTGTCTTTTGTTTGTATAGATTTTGCACTAAGTGCTAAAAAATAAACAGTTAATTTAATACCTAAAGGTACTTTTACCATTAAAGAGGGTTTCACCTGTGTCAGCAGAAATGTAATATATGCGATTGTTTGCCGTAGATGCCAATCAAGTTACATAGGGGAAACTGGGAGAAGATTGGCTGATAGGTTTACTGAACATCTAAGGGATATTGAGCAATGTAAACCTTCCCCGGTCTCTTCTCATTTCAACCAAAAAGAACATAAAGGTGCTTTGGATGTAACCATTACGGCATTGATTTCATGCAGTAACACACCAGATAGGGTTAAAATGGAAAATAAATTTATTCAGCTGTTTGGCACCATATCTCCATATGGTATTAATCAAATAATATCCTACTGATGTTTCTCCATTTCCCTATATTTCATCTATTTTCTTATTGCTGTTTGTTGATGTATCCCTTGATATTCTGGCCCATTATTATTGTGGACTTTATTTTTCACGGTGTCAATATTTATTTTCTCTCGCTTCCTGTTTTCCCACTTCCGGAGAGACGAATGAATACTGCTTGAGTTTTCTACTGTGTTCTTTTCTTTGTTGTATTTTCATTTCTATTGTTGGCTGATGAAGGCTTTATGCCGAAACGTCCTTGTTTTTTGTCCTGTTACCTTATTTCAAGCTTCCACATACCTCGTTTCACCATTTCATTCTTTTACATAGCTTGAAAGCAGTCCCTTCATTTATTTAATTTAATAGGGCACTGCAACTGACTGAAGAAGCAGAGGTTTTTGCCCTTTTTAAGATTTTATTTGATGAAACGAAAGTAGTGACAATCTTTTCGGTTTTCTCTTTTTTGCTGGTAAACTAAATGCGTCTGCCTGTAATGTTTGTAATGAATGAAAGCATTTGTATAGGGAGTATATTTATGTATCGTGTGGAAATGACATTTAACATTAATATTGCATACAAAATAACAATGCTTCAATTAGGGGTGTGCCGGAATCCGGTCCGGAATCCGGTTCCGCCGGATTTTGCACTATCCGGTGAAATCCGGTTCCGCCGGATTTACATGTATCCGGAATATACCGGATTTCGGAATTTGCCAGATTTTGTGACTCACCGGATCATAATCTGAAATAAAAGTAATTCTCTTTCCCGAATTCCACACGATCACGATACATTAATCGATTGTTTCGAGCGTAGCCAGATTTTGTGACTCACCGGATCATAATCTGAAATAAAAGTAATTCTCTTTCCCGAATTCCACACGATCACGATACATTAATCGATTGTTTCGAGCGTTGAGCTTGTTTAATGTTTAATATTCCGAACATACCAGAGGCTAGAGTCAGCACCACTAATAGTGGCCAATAGTGTAGGGACTTTGATAAGAAAATTTAAACTTTTTGTAAAAATAAACCAATGGCATAGTTGAAAAGATGTAATTTTTTAAAGAATTATAACACCAAAATCATATTTTTAGCTGTTGCAGTTTTAAAGTTATGAATTTTTAAAGTACGACTTGGTTTGTCATTTTTTAACATGGACTGCATCTCCACATTCTGTGATCTCATTCCGCCAATACCGTCATGCGCAATGACTATATAGTTTATATAAGGCAACGCATTCCCTGCCTTATCACTAAAATCACTGTTTAGACTTAGTTTAAACTTTCAACTTTGGCACATGAATAATTAATTAAAGCTTTCCCTGACCAATGGTTTAATAGTTTTTGCACACGGCAAACTCTTATGAATGAAACTCTGAGGTAGTACTACGATACAGTTATGCAAGTGGCTGTGAATGGTTGCCAATGACAACGTGTTGCACACGGTAAATTCTGATCATTTATAATATGGATTCTACCGGGTTGTTAAAGCTCAAATTAAAACATTCCAGTTTAAATGTCTTTAAATGCATTCTGAAACACAAGTTATCAATTATTTTGATGTAAATAGTGATAATAAATTAATATTTCCTAAGTATCGTCAACTTCCGCCATTAAAAAGGGGGGCGTGGCCAACCCCATGGCGAAATTAGGTTGAGCGAGCTGCATAACCTGCTGCGAACGCGTAGAAACATGGCGTCTCTCGTAAGACACTTATCCAAATGGAACGGAACTCAAATATATATCGAAAGTACTAATTTAATAATAAATAGACACACACATCGGAAAATTAAAAACTCGGATTTTTTGGCGCCGATTGCGAATTCCCATACACAAAAAGTAGTAGTCCACCTTGACTTACCGAAGTATCTACCAATAGTACCAAAATCCGGAATCCGGATTATTCCGGAATCCGGATTATTCCGGAATCCGGATCCGGCGGATTTCGCTTAAGAAAATCCGGATCCGGTTGGAAAAAACGGATCCGGCACACCCCTAGCTTCAATTATGAAGCTATTGAAATAAAATTGTCTACATTAACCAATAGTGTCCAGCTGAAAGTAAAGAAATTTTTTCAACAATAATTTCCCATCAAAATAAATCATCTCCACATTAAAAAAAAAATTTGACAAAAAACTACTGTGGCCAAAATATTGCTCATACAATTAAATAATTAATTTTTAAGCTAAAAAATGTTATTTTCAAAAAAAAAGAACAGATAGTGTCGTGCTGAAATTAAATTTAAAGATATTTGATTAATTATTATTTCCCATTAACAAAATTAACTCCACATTTTAAAAACAAAACTGATAAAAAAGCCATGTGCAAAACCACCTTTGTAATTCTTTGCACTTGTCGGTAAAGAACGATAACTCTGGGGACCAGGAAAGTAATAATTCCAATTTGCATAAATGTATAAACTAGAGTTAATGCTTTTGAGATGGTTAAGGCACTTAGGGTGACCATATTTTCATAAACATTTTAATTTAAAACCAGGACATTATAAATCAGTTTTCTTACCATGGGTGTCATAAATTAAATATTATTTGTTATTACATGGAGAGCTCTTCTGTCAGTGAGTTGTTGTTTTGAAAAAAAATTATCTTGATGCTATTAGGATGAATTATATTTCTTTTAGTCGTATCATTGATCTATGCATGGATATCAGAATATGTTATCTAACTTTTGATAAATTAAAAACTAATAAAAATTTTAAAAATGTTTAGTCACAAACTACTCGTTTCAGCTGACATCAAATCAGGGCAAAGGTCTAAAAACCAGTACTGTCCTGGTAAAACCAGTATGAATGTTCATCTTGTGTATGGTGAAGTCATAAGCTATTAAAATGATAAACACTTCTTAGAAAAATTACAAAAGGTTCAAAACTCAGCTGCTTGGCTAATTCTAAAGGCAAAAAAATTTGATCACTTCACAAAACTACTTCATTCATTTCATTGGCTCACAAGCACGGATTGACTAAAAACTTTCTGTCCTCTGCCACAACTTTATTTATTTCTGTCCCCAATACTGGCACAAAAACGTGGCAAAAAATGGAATTCTCTTCCATAGGGCTTGTCATTTAATGGCGGAAATCTATTAATAGAACTGATGTCACCATTACTGATCATCCGGGTACTCAGCGCGGACAAAATGTCAACACTGTTCAGTATTACTATGTTAGCGAAGTGTCCCTGAAACTTGTTTACAAAATCCGGGTACTCAGCGCGGACAAAATGTCAACACTGTTCAGTATTACTATGTTAGCGAAGTGTCCCTGAAACTTGTTTACAACTCTATTTTACGAAATATTTTACACATTTTTTTTTTACTTCTGTTTTCTCAAATGCGACTTCATTGCGTGAACGTCATATGTAACAGTAACTCTAGATACAAGGATCGCCCGAACGATATGCTGAAACACACTATAAGCTGCCATGTTTTAAGCAATATTTGTCCGCGGACCTTCTAAAAATAGTATGCTATGACGTTTTCCGGTCTTAGAAATGACAAAGCCTATTACACATCCGCAATATACCAACCATCACAGCCTTCAAAACTGCACTCAAAACATCTTTTTAAACTCTACCTCTGACCGAAAAACGATGCTGCTGGGTGTCGTCCATGGCTCAACATGTAACTAGTTTTAAATATATATTTGTTTTGTTTTATTTAATTAATGTACGTTAATTAATTTTTAAAGTTTTTGATTATGTTTGTATAATTGTATGTACAGCGTGGTGAGCCAAGCCCTAGGCTTGGGTACGACGTACATAAAACCTCTTATAATAATAATATTATGTTTATCATATAATTGAAAATTGTCTAGTTTTTTGTGTGCAATTTTCATTTCAAAATGATACAAATATTTAAATGAAATTATCCTTTTGAAAAAACAATAACCAGAAATAAGTGTTTTCAAAATTTACAATAAGCAATCTGATTATGGTTTCACTTCCTTAATGATGGCCAAAATCTAAGAAAATCTAAAGCAATTATCTGATCAAAGTTTATTTTAATTGCTTTTTTAGTGACATGGTTGTATATGGACTTAATGGCATATCTGAACATATTTCAAAATTATTTTACAGCTTACAGAACTGAAGAAGGTAAGCCTTGGGTTTTACCTGTTGTTCATACTGCAGAACTCCAGATGGCAAATGACTTAACTTTGAATCATGAATACTTACCTGTTGCTGGTTTGCCAGATTTCCGCATTGCAGCAACTCAACTTTTGCTAGGCTCCAATCATACAGTTATAGCTGAAAATAAGGTACATCTTTCAAGCAATTAAATTTGTGAACTAGTTATTAAATGTAAATGTGTTTCACTGCGATAAAGCTTTCAAGTGGATTAATGAGACATAAATAACTTGTACAAATAAAACAATATAGGTTGGTTAAGCTTTAATTTTGGTTACACAGAATACAAATTCAAACATTTTTGCAAATGACTCCATCAGTACAAATTACAACAGAAAACATTCATATAAGTATAAATTAACTTTACTTAATATATATATATTACCTAAATATGAAAGAAAAGGAAACAATAAGATGTAAAAAAGATATTGACTCCACGTTGACTCCATACGGTATAAACCAAATTCACAATTTTACATAGTTGCAATGTCTTTTTCCTTTTTGGTTTTTAAATGTACATTTTACTTCCACCCACTTAATCATTAATAAATGTAGAATCACTTTGTCTTCGAATTTTTATTTTTGTACAAGTGCATATTAATATTTTACAGGTTGAAAGCTTTCAAGCTCTTGGGGGTACTGGGGCGTTAAGATTAGGAGCTGCCTTTTTAAAAAATGTGATGAACTTCAATGTTGTGTATGTATCAGATCCCACATGGGGTAAGTTGTTAATATAAATATAACCCATCACCTTTCCTTTGTAAATTCATTATTTGTTAATGGAGTTTATATTTTGAAAAAAATAAAAAAATGTAATTTTTTGTATGAACCTTAACCATTCCTTGCTGAATTTGCAGTCCAGCAACTACTGACTTTAATAAATACGAAACCCATCACATACTACCTTGTGCTGCATATTATTCCTATTTGTGGTGCCTAGCAACCAAACACATTCTATACACATCACTGCTTAAGTTAACTATTATTCTTACAAGAAAATCACCCTTCACGTTTTAATCTACATTTTACTAAATTATTAAGGTTTTCCATGGCTTTGAGAAATTTATTGTAATGGCAAATGTAGATGAGGAAACTATCTAATAAAAGATTTTTAAAAATCTGCTATCAACTTTAGACAATGTAATTTAAATTTTATCTTACATACAATCTTATTTTTGTCATGATTATTTAATTTCTTTCCTTTTAATACTGAATTAAATCTCCCCTTTGCTATTGCTACATTTTAGTATTTTCACATCTGGATAGACATAATCTTTTAAATAAAAATAGCTTGTTTTAAGTCTGAGTGTCGTCAGATTTTGATTATTTTTACAGTGGTCAATAGCAATTTTGTTGAAATTGACTTAAATGATGACTTTTATAGCAATTTAAATTTAATTAGACATATTCTTCGGTTAATTATCCCAGCTGTACTAATACAGTTTTCTGTATTTAGATTATTGAAAGGAAATACATTTCGTTAGTCTTGACAAAGTTATTAACTTTACTGAAATTTATAGTGCCTTATTTTTCACCGTACCGAGGAAACATTCATGTGATGTGGATTGTTTTTTTTGGTGTTTTTTTTTTTTACCATAGGCCCTATGAGGATATAAAGATTTAATTGGAATTTAAAATAAGAATTACATAAACTGATTTGTAATCATGGTTAACTACTCAAAGTAGTTTCTACAGAACAATGCTGTATTACTATTAATGAATGGTCTCATCGAAACCGTCACACAGTTTCTAAATTTAGATAGCCTGACAATCTCAGTCTTAGGGCCAAAGATCATTTTGAACTTCAGCTTCTTGTTGACAACATTGAATTTATTGCACTAACATTTATGATTTTCAAATGTGTGTTACCACTGTCGCGTGCAAAATTATTTCTTTTCTAAATTCAGTAAAAACAACTGTACAGAATCCTTATCGAAAATGTTTAAAACCCATACAAAGTATGGATAAACTGTACAAGTTGGCTTGTAATCGATTCATTTGAAAAATGCATAGTTTCTAAGCAGATCTGAGACAGGTTACTTCTGACAACTTATTTTTTTCGGTTTTTATTTTCGTATATTTCTTTACATGGCTTTCATTTCTTAATTAATGTACAAAGTAGATCTTAGGTCAGTGCTGTCCAACGTTTTTGACTTTGTGGGCAAAGAATTTTTTTCAGGGAAGCCACAGGCCGCACATGACATCTCAAAAGAAATATTTTTTAAAACTTTCATTACCTGTATTAATACTTCTTACCTTATCCATAAAGAATCATATATCAAATAGCTTTATTGGCTCATTAAGACTATCAATAAAGCGAATAAAAATGGTGGCAATAATTTAATGATATAATATCTAGCTTTGAATTGTACTTCATTGTTTCTTAATTTTAGCACCTGTCTTCATTAGATTTTCTAAATGTTCACCAGTCAAAGCGTTACATTTTCTGGAATAAAAATTAGTCTATACATAGAAGAATCCAGTTTCACTTACATAGTTATTTCTAAAGACACTGTCAATGTTTTGTTACAACAATTCCATATTTGTGGAAATTCACCAGATGAAACATACGTCATCCAAAATTCATTTGAACATGCATTCTTAAATTTGTTTATAAAAATAAAAAAATATGTTCAAGAATCATTCACTGTCTCTCACAATTCCTCCCTGACTGAATTCCACTAACTAAAAACAAACACAGCTTGTATCATACTTTTTACTTATTTAACATCTCATACGCTGATATCTGAATACCAGGTACTTGTCCCTAACGTTACAACATTACAGGATGGACATAAACTCTCCCACACCTGGCTAAACTACCGGTTTAAATATTATGGCATCATAAATTGTCCACACTGCCCACTGTAGTAATTTTTTTACACATTTAATATCCCAACTCCCATCTCAGTTACTCTGACCCCAAGCCTTTCCTGTCAACTTTCATCTAACTTGTTGGGGGGAGGGGGGGGGGGTTTGTTTGACATTTTTAAGATGACCAAATAGGCAAACATCAAGTTACTTTTGGCTTCCCAATTCATCTTTCCAAACACCATTTTATCTGATACCCCTCGACACATCCCCTGTACAAGCAACAGCAAGAAGGATAAAACATTATCAAATTTCATGTCACCCCATGTTAACTCTTGTGACCTCCCCCTTTTCTTTGTTACAACTTCTCCTGTGCTCTCACATGATTTCCCAACAATACTGAATCAATGAATGTAGTTTTAAAATATGTTCACCAAGATATGTTTCATTTTTTTACACACATCATACAAATTTCTCCAACTGTGGCTGGCCATTTAAAATCAAGTCGCAGGTTGGACAGCACTGTCTTAAGGTATTTCATGATGTAGCATGTTCAACACTGTATGTTCCATGAAAACATCTTCACTTAAATAACAATCCTTTGAGAAACTTTCAGTATCTCAACATAGTTAAAAGAGAAATACATTCAACCATTTTTTAAAATGATTTTAAAAAATCTAGCCCAAGGTTTACTTATTATAAATGTATAATAAGAAAGGTTTAAGAAAATTGTATAAGCAAGGCTAAAAAAAATATGTTTAATTCAATGTTTGTCTACTTAGATTTAACTACCCTTAATCAGTTATTGTGTAGCATATTAAAATTAATTTTTTTCAGAAAATCATAAAGGTGTCTTTCAGGCAGCTGGTTTTTCTGATGTTAGGTTGTATCGGTACTGGGATAGTGAAAGCAGAGGTCTTAACTTCAGAGGAATGTGTGAAGATCTTTCAGTAGGTATTATTTCCTGATCAATCTATTTATTTACTAATATGCTCCAGATAAATAATTAAAGCAATGATCTGATGATTGAAAATTTAGCGCATCATTCATTAAAATGTTTGTTGTCAGTTCATCTCTTTTAAATACTATTCATTAAATTGACTTTATTCAGAATGCCCCAGAAAATGCAGTAATTATCCTACATGGGGTCGCTCATAACCCAACTGGTATTGACCCCACTAAAGAACAGTGGGAGGCAATAGCCAATATTTGTAAGGTGAGTGCTAAACAAATAAACTTAGGAGTAAATAAATTCGTGTTCATCAACAGGCTTGACCATGTACAAGTTTGAAAAGTCTTGTGATAAATAGAATAACAATCAAATCAAAGGATCTAATTGTTTGCTCTTTCAAATACATTTAATTGAAGATTTGTTATATTTATTTAGTATTCCTTCCTGAAATTATATTGATTTTGAGAAGTTTTTTTGTTTGGAAATTTTATTATGATGATTTTATGATAATTATTTCAGGAGAAGAAATTGTTTGTCTTCTTAGACTGTGCATACCAAGGGTTTGCTAGTGGAAATCTTGATGAAGATGGATGGGCATCTCGGTATTTTGCTGATCAGGACTTGGATTTATTTGTTGCACAATCATTTTCAAAGAACTTTGGTCTTTACAGTAAGAAATTATTTTTGACAGGCGTACAATTTTTTAAAACTACTTTAATTACTTGTGCTAAACTCTATTAATTAAATTGTTATTCAAATTCATTAATTATATTTACACAACATATATGTTGTACAGTGGGCTTTGATGATAATATACTAACAACTTACACACAAATTTGTGGAAAGCCTGTTTATCATATTTAATATTTTCTATCATTGAGGCTGTTATGATCTTGCTTTTTACAAATTTAATCTCGATGGATATTGTGTTAAATGAGCGGCTCACTGCTTAAATTTTCCCTATGTGTTTAGTGAAATAATATTGCTAATCTCATTGATTAATGACACACAAACAATTTGTGTAAATGAAACAATTTTGTGTTAAGCTTTAATTATGGTTACGCAAAATAAAAGTTTAAACTTTTATAATCTCTTTGAACTTGTATTTTTTATAAGTTTGAACAATGTAAATTTAAATTTAACACATAGCTGCTTACTTGAATGCAAAATGGAAAAATTAAATGCAGATAAATCTCTCTCTGATTGAGCTCATGGTATGTGATGAAACAAAAGAACTATATGTTCATAAACAGTAATGACCAGTTGAAATGGGTTCTTTTTACCAGTACATATGGGAAAAGTTTCCTCTTTATAACTCTGAATGGTGTACAAGATTTTTTTAGACACTAAGATTAACATTATATTGTCACCAGTATTAACATTATATTAATTAATTTAGTCACCAATATTAACATTATATTCAGTCACCAGTATTAACATTATATTAATTAATTCACCAGTATTAACATTATATTAAGTCACCAGTATTAACATTATAAAAAGTCACCAGTATTAACATTATATTATGTCACCAGCATTAACATCATAAGTCGCCAGCATTAACATTATATTAAGTCACCAGTATTAACATTATATTAAGTCACCAGTTTATATATAGTGTACCAGTCACTCAATTACTTGGAAAGGAAAATGTCAGTTTTAAAGTGTTAAAAAAATATAATTTCTTTAAATCCTAGTTCATTTTGATTCATGTTCTCCTATTTAATATTTTCTGTAATACATTTATTTTGTGATTGATAGACGAAAGAACTGGCAACCTTGTTGTGATTTCTAGGGACCCTAAAAAGCTAACTGAAGTTCGAAGCCAAATGGAAATACAGATAAGAATCATGTGGTCTAATCCACCTAATCATGGTGCAAGAATTGTCACTACTGTTCTAAAAAATTCTGCTTACTTTGAAGAGTGGTAAGTTAAAGTACAATTTGCTTCCATATATTTATAGTTTCACTTATAAATTTTCTTTTTTTTTGTGGGTAAAAAATAATATAATTGAATTGCAAGCTTATGAAAGTTGATGGTTTTGCTTAATGGGGGCAATGATCTAAATCTTTAAGTTAAAATAATTTTAGTTACCGGTCGATCAAACCAATCAACTTTTGAATTTATTTAATTATCATTAATAATATCTTATTCATAAGGAACTATATTTATATCATACAGGAAAGGTCAGATTTTAATAATGGCTGATAGAATAAAGAAGATGAGACAGGAATTGTTAGACAATTTGAAAAAGCTAGGAACCCCAGGCAACTGGGACCATATTACTAAACAAATTGGAATGTTTAGTTACACTGGCTTAACAGGTTTGTAAATGTTAATGTGTTAATATTTGATTGAGTGCTAGTAACTTAAGAACATCAGTTAACTGACAACAAGTAGAAGTGTGAGAAAGTTTCACAAGACACAAATGTTCACAAATCTGTTGCTATATTTTGGAGTAAATGAATGAAAATATAATATGTAAAGTAGTTTTTTGTAATTTAAATTTAACCTACAAAATATTTTGGAACTATAATCACCTTTTTCAATATTATAATTACTTTCTTTGATGCTGCTCCTTAGTGAACCATCCATAAATACTTGCTTTCTGTGTCCCCAAATTTTAGTAATTAGTTTTAGTGTCATGAGTTTTAAGATTTAAAAACGTTACCTTAGACCATTAAAAATAATATATAAATAAAGATGAATTTTATTCAGTCAAAAGTTACATTTCGCTTGAAGTATTTATTAAATGTTATACTATACATCCTCAGAAAAACAGGTTGAATACCTGAAAAGCAAGAGTATTTATCTACTCAGCAGTGGGCGAATCAGCATGTGTGGCCTAACATCCAAGAATGTGGAATATGTGGCCAAAACTATTGATGAAGCTATCCGGGCTTACCCCAGTAATTAGATGTTATTTATTTTTAGGAAAACACTCTCTTTAGCTCAGATTTCCCTGGTTTAGCTTGACATCCTTTTTAAAAATTTCTCACCCAATAGACGGTTTATACTTATTTGAGTTATTTATTTTGAATTAATTGAATTGAATTAATTCTTCTTGTGCTTATTAACAAAAAAATGTACCGTAGCTGATATAGACCATTGTTTAAACTGCACAGATAGTTTTTATAAATTATATATTGGATATATGCCAAGATAATGCAACAAATGATTTTTTATACTCTTTTTTTGGAAAAAAAACAAAACTTAACGATTTCAAACTGACATGTACTTACATCCTAGTTTGTTTCTTTTAATCTCAACATACTTCATAAAGCAAGCGTTTGATTGAAATCAAAGCAGTAAATATTTGTAAATAAAAATCTTGTTCAAATCAAAATTTTAACTTAAATTAATTATTGAAGATAAAATGTTATTTTTAGGCAATGGTTTTGGCATATATTCCAATCCTCCATCAGCTTATCATCCTATGATTAGATGTATATAAGGAGCACAAAATATTTTTAACTTCATGGTGTTGTGTCCTAAAATGTTCATAAACAGATAAGGAAAATACACATTTAAAGTTATTTGAGCTGTTATAATCTTTATTTTTAACGGTGTTAATCTTTTATACAGGATCTGTGCTTTGAGCACTTGATGCCCACTACCAGTGGCACAAATGGAAATACAGACTCTATTAAACATTACCTATTTCTTACTCAAATAATACAACCACTGTTAATGAGATCAAGAAATGCATTACCAAAGAAAACAGATTAATCATATGTATTCATCTATTTCAATCAGAGCAGTAATGATATTTTATAAAGGACATAAATAATGAACACTTTTGGGCCAGGTGTCAACATACTTTTTTTAAACTTATCTTAATATACTGATACAATGTGTGTATGAAGTGTATACCATATTTTGAAGGTATTGTCTCATAACTTGTTAAAGTTTAATAATCTTACACAAAAGTCCATCAAATTTAAGTTGTCTAATCAATGTCATTTATAGCAGTTTTACATTTCTATGTTATCTATTTATTTAGAATATTTTTCAAATCATGTAATAAAGCGCGGTGGGGGGAACTAAAATGTTGGTCCAATTTAATGGAGTGTTTCTTTCTGTAACAACAGCACTCAAATTGACCGATAATGCTGGGCAGCCAGGGCCTGGTAATTATAAATTTTCATGTTATTTAATTATATTTTGGGTGTTATTAAACTTTTTACTAGATTGAATGTCGAATCACATATTTCATATTTGGTACTTTTCATCATTCTTTGTAAAAAAATTAAAAACTATTTTTTCCCCCAACAAACATTTAGTGTTTCATACATAAGTTTAACAATGGAAACAATTTTTAAAAATATAAACCAAAAGATTAGCTTTTAAACTTACACCCTAAAATAAAATTATTATATACAACAAAAATGAAATAAATGTTGTAATTTAGCATTTTTATAATCCATTTCTTTTTTAATATGGATAAACCACCTCAGCTATAAAATTCTAAATCACAAAAATAATAGTTGTTAATATTTTGCTGAATTTTCTATACCGTTTGAGTATTAATTAATGAATTTGCCAGTTAATTAAAAAAATATTTTACAATAATTAAAGTTGGTGTGATATTAATTTGTTTACTGGTCAAAGCATTATATTGTGCAAAGTAATTTAATTTAATTGCTTAGTGTTAGATATGGGTTAAGCTTAAGCTTTTTAAAGTTGGACCTACTTTTAGGTTAGTTTTTTAATTTGTTACTAAAAGCTCAGGGTGTTAATTATTGTAAGATAAACTAGGGTAAAGAGTGTCTTATGATAATCGTGTCATGGAACTGTTTTTTTGTGTGATCCAAAATAAAATAAAAAATAAAAACCCTGCATATTTCAAGAATTGTATTGATTATTTTATTGTTTTAAAATTGTTATTCAAGTTGCACATCCGAATTTCTATTTCCTTATTTATTTCAAATTACCCATTACAGTTTATAGACTTAGGCATACTTCATTAGTATTTAATTTCCACTCAGAAAAATTAAATAAGCTATTTAAGAAGAAACTTTAAATGCAGACTAGTGTAGCATGTCGTAAGAACTTTTTAACGATGAAAGAACTAACGAAATCTCATTATTGATGTAACATTTTTTCATTAAAAATTTTGGAATTTCTTCAACTTCAACCATTTTAAACTTTTATAGCATCCCAGATAAGTCAAGTCTGACATATATTAAAATTAAATATTTATTTATAAAGTGTTATAATAATTGTAATTATTGTCTGCCTTGTAGTTCAATGGTATCATTCTAAAAAAACCACTTGATGAAGGTAGCAGGTTCTAATTCCTTAAGTGGAAAGCCACCAGGGTCGAAAGACAGCGGCCCTGGCCAGAGTGAGAATATAGTAGTAATATATATAATATATATATATATAATATATATAATATTTCCAAATAGTAGTAATCTTACCAGTTAAACTCCAGTTTCCGGAATAATTGTCGAACGCAAACACAAAAAATTTTTTAAAATATTTTCCAGATTTGAGAGAATAAAAACAAAAGCTTTTTGTTTGTAAAATAATACACCAAATCTAGATATTTAAAAAATGAATAGTATCAACAGTTGTATCAAAATGTTCAGTGAAATTTATTTAATCTTTTAATGAAAACAGAAAAGTTTCATGAAAGTTCCCTTTATGACTTGGAAAGAAGTAAATATTGCAATGTGTACTTACTATATATATAGGGCCCCTTTACCAATGTGGCTTTTCCATCCTTTGGTATATAAAATACCCCTGAAAGCAAAGCAGGCATGAACCACATATGCCTCTCATATTTGTAGTCAACATTGAAATGTTAAACTAGAGATCTGGAAGAATTCACTTATCTCAAATTTCTGAAGTTTTGACTGGTCAAATATTCATAATTAATGATTTTAATATTTATGCACCACGGCAAACAATGAAAAACATTATTAAGACACATTAGATTAGTTACCAAACTGTTCAACAAAAAAGACATTTGAGAAGAATGCCATAACAAAGAGAATGTGGTTAAGATAAAAAAAAAGAAGACTTCAAACTAAAATGTGTTTCTACTAATTATATGCAACTCATTTGAAACAGGTTACTTTTATCATCAATAAAACTGACAAAGTTTGCCTTTTCAGCATATGAAAGTCTGCAATTTGCTGAATTTGCAAGAAGAAAGCTAAAGGAGACTGTTGACATGTATAACGTAATAAAGACGGATGTTGTCATTGAAGGTTTGCTGTACAGTGAGGGCGGAGATGAAAACGTACCCGAGGAAGAGGACAGCGTGCATTCTTTTGTGAAAATAAATCTTGTAGGGAAACTATCTTCACTATCTGATCTGGATATACCAACTCCTGCACAGAAAATTACAGAAGAAACTGAGGGTGCTGAAGATAAACTGGAAAATGTAGAGGCTCCCCATGAGAGAGAAAATATTAGCACATTCACAGAGCCAGGGACAGGGAGGACATCGGTCAAGACGTTCAAGACACAAACTACACAGGCAAATGAATCTGACATGCTACACCCAGATTTCCTTAAACCCAAAATGATTCCAGCCAGATTTGAAGGCACCATGCTGACACCCGTTTATTTTGATGGATTTATGATCACACCCAATCAGCTTGACGTCATGCTAAGTGAAGCTACTAAGAAAGGGGAAGGTCTTTCTATACCCATTAAACTCCAAGGGGGAATGCTGACTGCAGCATTTAAAACAATGTCTCAGGATATGGACATGTTAAACATTGATGGAGCAGTTCCAGTTAAGTTCCATGGTAGACTTCAGGGCATAATGGAATCGAATGCTGGGGGTGTCGGTTTGCCAGTTGCATTTGATGGAAGTATGGTGAAACTTCAAGGCCCCAAAAAGAAAAGTATCCCTTCAGTTGCAAACAGTGTAAAGAAAGAAATCTCTAACAAAAGTCTTACTGTACCGGTATAACAAAAAAGTCTTTCTATTTAAAGCTAAATTTAAAATTCTTGAACACTTTTAAAAAATTACTCTACCTAATCAGTATATAATTTTAAATTTCAACGTTTTGCTGTTATTAATTATTAGTCTTAATTAAAAAATATAGAGGCCTGCAAATTGAGGAAATTTGTTTTTCATATTCTTTCTCATCCATTTAAGACTTTTGCTACTAAATTGATCTACATTCAGAATTTGTTTTAGGAAAAATAATTTCTTATAAATCATACAATTTCTAATGTTTACACAAAACCAGAAGAAAAAAACCATTTGAAAATTTTCAACATCAAATCAATAAATTAATTTTAGAAATGTTTGAACTAAAAATAATTTTGATGGTATATTTTACAAATAAAAGATGCAATCGAATATCAGTGCAGTTTGTTATTATTGTTTATTTATTTTCAAATTTTATATTTCATTATACAGTTTTTTTGGTTATATATTTGAGTTGCCCCAGTTGGTACACAAAGCAACAAAAATAAATGACACTGAACTTATTCTAGCAATCACATTTTCATTAGAAAGTCATTAATTGTTTCATATTTCTTTAACATTTATGAAAAATAAATTAACTAAAAAACATAATAAGTATGGGGAAGCTTGAAATTCAAAGACGAGAATATAAAAGAAGAATGTTTCAGCTAAGAGCCCTCTTCAGCAGACAGTACAAAACAAGGGGAAAAAAAAATAGAAAACAGTTCAAAAGTTTAAGTGTTTGGAGTTTACCATGTAATATGCTATTGCCTGAGGTTGGACTTCCAGTAGGTTTTACTTAAACTTTTCTCTTATTTGCACAAGAAGCATGAAATTAGATTTGGTATTCTGTTGAAATTAAATGAAGTTAAAGCTGTCAAAATCATATTTTTGAAGTTTTATGCATAGAAAACTCATAGCCTTGGGCCTGCCACTTACTTCTAGTTAAATTCACATTTTGACATTTTTCTTTTCTTTATTTAGCATTAAAATTATTAGAATTATGGTGTCATTTAGAGTGTTATGTTATAGTGTTTCTTTTTTTCCTAATCAGAATCTATTCAGTTGATTTTAAGGAAATTGATTTTTCTAAATTGGGCGAAAAAACCCATTATTCCATTGTTAAGCATAATTACTATGGAACCAATAGTGGTGATGAATTCGTTAGTGCCTTGCTTGCACTATATTTTGAGTAACTTAAGAAAGCTGGGATGAAAAAGTTTGATCTGGCCTATGGCCAATCTCCCCCAGCAATTTCTCTGTATTTTTGTTTATAAACTAGTGTTATACAAACTTTTACTATTTCTGCAAATTTTTACCTAATAGCATGCCTGATTAAACTTATAACAAGACAAATAAGATGCAATATTTTTAAAATTCTTTAATAAAACAAGGTCACAAAAAAGTACTGACTTAATTTACTATAAGCCTTTTACTTATTTGTTTTTTGTAACGGACTATGTTTTCACATGAAAACAGAGAGGTAGCATGAGTGAACAGTGAATTGTGTTGACCATGTTTTTTCCACGAAGAGAGACAATCAATGGATTGTATTTTGAGATGCAAATGTGAGCTCCACGTTTTTGGAGAGTAAAATTATGTTTTTGTCAGAGCGGTTGTTTTCCACGCTTTGCTGGTAATAAAGTATGAGTTGACTGAGATAAGGAGAGCTGAGCGCAAGGAGAGTCAGAGTTAGTCGGAGTTGAGTTAGAGTTGAGATGTAGTACAGTTGAGCTGAGTTATAGTAGTGTGAGGACGTGTCTTTCTTAATGATGGAATACTATAGATATATATGTGAAATTACATTCATGCAAGGATTATTTATTAATATTATCAGTATAAAGTGTGTTCAATAAAGTACTGTAAGTTTAACCAGGATTCAGTATTCTTATTTGCGTGCCCGGATGATAAGTGGAAGAATGAAGAAGTCTTAGTCGGCATCCTGAAATATCAACATAACATAAGTAACCATACTACTGACATAACCCACAGCATAAGAAATAAGATCCCACGCCATGTCAGAGTAGTGGTGTTACAGATCTGGCCTATGGCCAATCTCCCCCAGCAATTTCTCTGTATTTTTGTTTATAAACTAGTGTTATACAAACTTTTACTATTTCTGCAAATTTTTACCTAATAGCATGCCTGATTAAACTTATAACAAGACAAATAAGATGCAATATTTGTAAAATTCTTTAATAAAACAAGGTCACAAAAAAGTACTGACTTAATTTACTATAAGCCTTTTACTTATTTGTTTTTTTGTTTTCCTAAAAGAAAAGTCTATGTAGTATTCCATGATAATTGCACATTTGAGGTGAACAGCTTAATAGTTTTAAATTTTATTACAAAATTTTGTAGATCATATTTATTCTTAAAACATACATTTCTTTACTTAGAAAATGTAAAAAAACCAAAAACAACCCATATCAATGTGTGTATAACACAATCATATTAAAAAATCTTCAGATTGCTGTATCTTGCCTAGAAGTTAGTAGAAGCAAATCCACAAATTTTGCTAGGTTATCTACAATAATATCTGGTTTAACGTCAGGGTGATTTTCATCTTGAGGCCTGAAATTTAAAAAATGCTTTTTTATAATCTAATATTTCTGTCATGAACTATTCTCATTTCCAACTTGACACTTGATAATTAAAGTCTAACATTTACATTTTAAAACTTAAGAAAATAAATAATTTAAGACATTGTGCATTGTGGGGGGCGCGGTGGTCAAAGTGATAGTGCGATGCGCTGCGGTACCAAGACTTCAAAATAAATTTCAATCAGTCACGGGTTCGAATCCTGGTGCTGGCACCCCTACGGCTAGGAGAAGGAAACTCCGACTTCAAAAATCCTCCGCTGCCTTGCGGCTATACCCTTCGGGAAAGGCTAAGGGAGTAAACCCCGACAGAAAATCAGGAAATGGAGCACCTACAGGCGGTCTATACATAAAACTCTTATGTACATACCGGCAATTCTCCATAATACCCGCCCAGGCTTGCATCACCTCTGGAGAGGACACTCCAGCGTCGCCGCAAGGTGTCGACAAAACACGGGAAGCAGCAGTTACCGGTTATAAGCCAAAAGCTCAATTGACGTAGAGCTAGGCGCCAGGGGCTGCTTCCGACGGTGGGAGAGACTACCAATGTCTCACTGGACAGCTACCGCCCGCCTCAAACTGGGCAGCCCCCAGTCAAATAGGTGCTATCCCGTCATGGCCTGCCTTCTCCACTGGGTGCGTGGAGATTAGAGTACCACTCAACAAGTGGGCCACTAAGCCCTGCACCAAGAAACACAAAAAAGAAAAAGAAGATCCCAGCTCTTCGAATCGCTAGCTGGAACGTGAGGACTATGTGTCCCGGCATCACTGATGACCCGCAGTCAATAAACGACACTCGGAAGACAGGAATAATCGATAGAGAACTTGAAAGGCTAAAGATTGACATCGCTTGCCTTCAGGAGACCAGGCTCCCAGACAACGGTACACTCAAAGAGGCAAATTACACTTTCTTCTGGCAAGGCAGACCAACAAACGAACCTAGACAGCATGGTGTAGGTTTCGCTGTTAAGAACACTCTTACACCATTCATTGATCCCCCGTCATCAGGCACGGAGAGGATCCTCACTCTAAGACTCAGAACAGCCGCGGGCCCAGCAACCATTCTTAGTGCATATGCCCCAACTCTCTGTTCAACCCCGGAAGAGAAGGACCAGTTCTATGGAGCTTTAGACCAGGCAATAGCAAGCATCCACAAAGACGAGGCAATCTACCTCCTGGGAGATTTCAATGCTAGAGTGGGGAGTGACCACGAAGCCTGGCCCACATGCCTTGGACTCTTATGAAGAGGAAAGATTAATGAAATAGGACAGAGGCTTCTGGAATTGTGCTGCTCACGAGGCTTGTGTGTGACCAACACTTACTTCAAGTGCAAGGATATACATCAAGTATCTTGGAGAAACCCTCCATCCCGCCAATGGCACCAGCTGGACCTCATCATCACCAGGCATGCACAACTAGCCACCATCCTACTCACTCGCAGCTATCACAGTGCCGACTGTGACACGGATCACTCCCTTGTCGCCAGCAAGGTACGAATAATGAGGAAAAACTCCTACCACACCAAGAAAAAGGGATGTCCGCGTATCAATACCTTCAGCATGAAAGACCCTGCGCAAACGCAGCTGTTCACAGACAAGGTGAAGGAAGGTATCTCAAGGATGTCCCCATGCGTCACCATTGACTCGAAATGGACGCATCTCAGAGACACAATCTATACATCCGCAATACAGGCCTTTGGCAAAAAATCTCACAAAAACACGGACTGGTTTGATGAACATTGGGACGAGATGAAACCTGTCACTGAAGCCAAAAGGAAAGCTCTTACGGCTTACAAGGAAAAGCCTACACCCGACAGGTTGCATGCCTTAAAAACAGCCAAGTCACTTGCCCAAAAGGTTGCACGTAATTGTGCCAATACCTACTGGCTTAACCTCTGTTCCAGCATACAGTCAGCTGCAGATATGGGCGATGCAAAAGCAATGTACGAAAACATCAAAAAGGCAACTGGCCCCTTGACGTCCAAAGTTGCTCCTCTAAAGTCCAAAAATGGAGAAATTATCCAAGACCGGGCAGCACAGCTAAAACGTTGGGTTGAGCATTATCTGGAATTGTATTCAACAGTTACCACAGTCTCCAGCACCGCTCTAGATGACATACCAGATATGCCACTCATGGAAGAACTTGATGTCGTGCCCTCACAGGAAGAGCTGAGCAAAGCTATTGATAGTCTAGCTTGTGGAAAAGCGCCTGGGGATGATGGAATACCACCAGAGGCTCTAAAGAGTGGTAAGATAGCTTTACTCCAACCATTGCACGAGATTCTGTCCCTCTGCTGGGAACAGGGCTACATCCCCCAAGACCTAAAGGATGCAAATATAGTGACACTATATAAAAACAAAGGTGATAGGAGTGATTGCAATAATTATCGCGGCATTTCACTCCTTAGTATTGTAGGAAAGGCCTTTGCCCGTGTCATACTAACACGTTTACAGAGTCTAGCATCCCGTGTCTATCCAGAATCTCAGTGCGGTTTCCGGTCTGGGCGGTCTACCATAGACATGGTGTTCTCCATACGACAGCTCCAGGAAAAATGCAGAGAGCAGCAGATGCCACTGTACATTGCCTTTGTGGACCTTACAAAAGCCTTTGATTACGTCAGTCGCAACGGGCTATTCAAAATACTGGCAAAAATCGGCTGTCCCCCTCACCTACTTGCCATCATCAGAGAGTTCCATGAAAATATGCAGGGTACAGTGCAGTTCGATGGAGCCAAGTCAGAAGCCTTTCCAGTCAGCAGCGGAGTTAAACAAGGTTGTGTACTCGCACCAACACTGTTCGCAATATTCTTCTCTGTACTACTTCGATACGCATTCAAGGATAGCAGTGAGGGAATCTGGTTACACACCAGAGCTGATGGAGGACTTTTCAACACTGCCCGCCTCCGAGCCAAGACCAAAACGACAGATGTCCTAATTCGCGAGCTACTATTTGCGGATGATGCGGCACTAACAGCACACACAGAAATTGGTTTGCAACAACTCGTGTCAAGCTTCTCCAATGCCTGCAAAGAATTTGGTCTGCAAATCAGCTTGAAAAAGACAAACATCATGGCCCAAGACACTCGACCTCCACCTAACATAAAAATCGATAATGAAAACTTGGAGGTTGTGGACAGCTTCACCTACTTGGGGTCCAAGGTCTCCAATACACTGTCCATTGAAGAAGAAATTAACAGCAGAATCGGCAAGGCAGCTGCCACAATGGCTAAACTAAATAAACGGGTCTGGCAAAACACCAAGCTAACGGAGAAAACCAAACTGTGCGTCTATCGAGCTTGTGTCATCAGTACACTACTATACGGGAGCGAGACATGGACCACCTATACATCCCAAGAGCGCAAGCTTAATAGCTTCCATATGAGATGCCTGCGTCGCATCCTTGGTATTAAATGGCAAGAAAAAGTGACTAATAGTGAGGTCCTAATGCGTGCGAATACCCAAAGCATGTTCACAATCCTTAGTGAAAGACGCCTGAGATGGCTAGGTCATGTTAAAAGAATGAGTCCCGGCCGCATTCCGAAAGACCTCCTATATGGTGAACTTGCTTCTGGAAAGAGGAAAACAGGTCGCCCACGTCTGCGATTTAAAGATGTCTGTCAAAGGGACATGAAAGCAGCCAAAATACATACAAGTGACTGGGAGTGTAAGGCAAAAGACCGATCTACGTGGCGCACAGTTGTCAAAGAGGGCGTCATGGTAGCCGAGGAGCGAAGAATGGAAGAGGCTGCAGACAGAAGAGCTAGGAGAAAGGCCAAAACATTTAGAAGCACGGAACTCGTGTGTAAAAACTGTGGTAAAGACTGTCACTCAAGGATAGGACTGCACAGCCACTCGAGAAAATGCAACCCAAACCAACGGTGATGCACCATCGTCTCACGAGACGGAAGGATGCCGGAGATTGTGGTGATAAGATTTAAATTCTTTGCCTAGGCCTAAAACACCATAATGACTCTGTATATATCTATTTACATCAAACAAGTTTAATAAGTTGGTGTTAATGGTAACCTTTAACTTCTTCGAAACTAAAAACTAGAGATGAAATTGAATTAAACTTAACTTTGTTTTTTTTTGCCTGCATATGTTTAATATATTAAGTTGCTTGGTTTACTCTGGTCTTATCTTCCAAACAGATTTTAGAACTCAGTTCATAAAATGTTTTCATATTAATGAGAATAAAGAAATATACTTTTGTCAATTAAAAAACCCCCACCATAATAAATAAACCTTGTTGTCAATTATGCACTCAAAGTTCAAAGACAACAAGAAATTATGATTAATTTTTCTAAAATAATGCTCTCTATGTACCTGAATTTTCCTGTACGAACTAACACACCAATCATTCCACAACTTTGTGCTCCACCAATATCACTTACAATGTCATCCCCTACCATTACTGTCTGGAAAAAAATGTTTTACCAGTAACTGGAACTTATTATTGTGAATAATTTCAGCAAACAAATCATTTTCTATGAACAAAAATGAATCACATTAAAAAAACAACAAAAATTCTTGATTAAAAATATGAACATGGTTGGGGCTGGAAAAGTAGATTCCAGTTAATCATAATTACACCCATGTTTTATTTAGGCACTTTATTTGGGATAAATGGTTCTGGTCCCTAAAATGTTCTTAATTATTATTTTTAGTTTTATTTGCATGACATAGATAAGGGTGCTGAAATTATATGAAAATCCCTAACTTACTGGAAAAAACTGAATTGACAATTATATTAATAATACCTCTCTTGCTGTTGTCCCCATATCTCTCAGAACTGCATTGAAAAAAAAAGAAGATGGTTTTCCAACAATTTCTGCAGTCACTCCTGTGGCATACTTACAAACGAAAATAAGAGATATAAATTAAGGGCATTGGAGCTTTCTTTTAAAGTTTAATTAAAAAAAGAGATGCCTAGATATTTCTTAGCATTTTACATCTAAATAAATAAAAATGTATAATTCATATCATATCTGCAAATACTAGAATCTCTTTTATTTATCATTTAGTCTGAAGCAAGTTTTTTTGTGAGAACATCTGAAAATAAATTTTTAATGTAAAATAAATATATTTAATAAAAGCAAAGAATGTAATAGTAATAGTAATATGGTATAAACAACCCTTGTTTATTGGATGGTCACACAGGAGTCAGAATGATCAATACATTGATCGTGAGCCCTCAAAATATAAAAGAAGAAGCTCACCTCAAGAGCTTTCATAAATGGCCCAACATCAAGTATTAACTGACCTTCCTCTTGATAATATTTTCTGAAAAAAAAAGTTTATTAAAACATGTTCATCATTTGTTATAATGACTTTATCATGGTGCATTTGCTCTTATTTTTACCACTTACTTACTGCCCTTAATTTATATTGCTATTGAAATTTTACTTCATTACACTTAGCAACTCACCATATTATAAAACTGCTTAAAGTTACAGATAAATTGTTTACATTCCTTTACAATTACAACTGGACAGCTTTACTTTGATAGTTACTATTTCTATTAATGAGACACAAACAATTTGTGTAAATAAGACAGTTAATATATAACTCAATTTTTAGTAGTGCCTTGACCTGGGTTTACTTTCATGTTGTTTTTAAAAGATAAGCTGAGCAAAGATTTAGTAGAGTTTCTATCTACATGCTGGAAAAACTGATAAAGAGTGAAATCTTTTACCCTTTTCCTAGAGCAAAAAGCTTTGGTTTTTCAAGCCCTTTGAGGCATTGAAATGCTTTGTTCATGTTTTCGTAAGTAAATTGATCTGTAGCATCCCCAATAATAACACAATTTGGATCCTTTACGTCAATGTGTCCAAAATCTGAAAGCGCATCTGAAAAACACCTACACAGTGTGAAGAAATCAGAATGGACCTTCATATTTTATATACTGTTGTGTAGTAAGCATATCTTGCTAAAATTTACCCCTGCCACCTTTTCTGTATTATTATTACTGTCATCCTTTGTCCAGCTCACATAGTGTATTCAACTGTTTCACCGACTCAACTTAGTAGCTCAACCCCCCCCCCCAACAGGGCTTGTTCATGCAGGCTTGCGGTTTGTTAGGCAGATGCATAGCCCTGGGTGGACTCCTTGGAATCAAGTCTACTGTTCCAACACAGCTTATTTCTGGGATAGGGGGATTTATCATTGGCTCACATATTGATCATGTAAGAATGACCATGGCCAAATACATAAGTTGATCAAGTGTGAACGAAACCCTATGATGTGTACTCACTCAAGCTGTTTGGTAGGGTGGGGGGTGTGCTACTGAGATGAGTCGGTGTGACCTCCCAACCTGATTTAATCACATGCAGATAATAAGAAATGTAATTATTTGTAATTAATAATAATCCAATTATTTCTCTTTAAAAAGTATAATTATAACCCTTACCAATAACTACTAATAAACAAATCCGAGTAAATTTTTTGTCACCCTCATTTATTTACATCCATGGGCGCCCGCAGGGGGGGCACTCCTCCCCCCCGATTGATTGGATGAAAATTTTTTAGACAAAAAATGTATTAAAGTAAAGAGAAAATAAAGAGAAAGTAACTAAGCTGATGTCCTGTCTGTTCGTTCACCACACAAATACGCTACAGTAAATTAAAACTACATTAAAACATTACTAAAATTATTTGCCCCCCCCCCCGGAAAGTTAATCGATTTTTTTTGCACCCCCGCTAGAAAGTTTTCTGCGGGTGCCCATGTTTACATCTGCTTGTCATTAATGTTAAAGCTAAATTTTGATAATGCCAGAAGTAAAATTATTTGCCCCCCCCCCCCGGAAAGTTAATCGATTTTTTTTGCACCCCCGCTAGAAAGTTTTCTGCGGGTGCCCATGTTTACATCTGCTTGTCATTAATGTTAAAGCTAAATTTTGATAATGCCAGAAGTCATATTTTAGTTAGAGAGGAGTGGAGTAAGAGATGGGTTTATAATTAGTTTTTTAAATCTCAATCTCTCACTTCTAGTACCGGGTGCGAATAGTCCCAGCATTCACATTATTTAGGATCTTTTTTTTGTAAGATTGTTATATTTTCCACAATAAACATAATATTGTATCAGCTATACCTGGATGAACTAATAAATGTGGTCTTAGCTTATTTTCCTCTAATATCTTGCACATTGCAGGAATAGGTGGAAACACTTTTTCTTCATCAATTGTAAAGCCTAGACTTCTGAGCTGCCTGGCCAATGTATTTCTTGTTACAGTTGTTTCATTGGTACAAAAGCGCACCGTGAGGCCAGATGCATACAACCTGATTATTAATAAATAAAATTATTAACATGTATCAAATGAGGGTTATGTTTCTGAGGGCTGTAACATAAAAAGTTATTAAATATTAGGGCTTAGGCCCATAGGTGACTTGTTTTGACAGTGGGGTTCCAACATTAGCCATCTTTTGAACACTATATACTGCTGTCTGCTGTGCTTTATTTATTTAAAAAAACTCATTGGATTTGGTCATGTAAAAAAGTATCTTGACGACAGCAAAAGAAGTGAGGGGGGGGGGGGTGGTACAAACACAGGTCTCTCCCCATCACTCGGCCAGCTACTCCCCTGTTAAAGATAGTATTATTAAGATTTTATAAAGAAGATGATTTGTTACTTAATTTATTTTGGTAATAAATTGACAAAAATGTTGTGCGAGTCATTTATTAAATGTATTACCATATTTGGCTAATTCTTAGAGATCATCCTATGACGTCATTTGGTCATTTGCGTGTTTATTATAGTTGCAGTGAATTAGGGTTCAGGCTAGGTTTAAGGATACATTTAGTGACAGAATTAACTGGTTGTGTCAACCAAGATGGCGGCCATCGCGGGAGGATCTCTAATAATTTACCGTATATTTAAATAATGCTGATGTATGTTTTGCAATAGCCAATTTTTAACCGCCCCCCACCAAACCATCACAAAATGTGACCACCTTCCGCTAGTTGCGCGACGACGACGTCAATTAATGGATGGTCCCCTAGGATTATAATAGCTGTAATAGTATTAATTAAGTCAGTGGTTCTCAACCTTCCTAATGCCCGATCCTTCAGTTCCTCATGTTGTGGTGACCCCCAGCCACAAAATTATTTTCGTTGATACTTTATAACTGTAGAGCAGATTTGTTTTCAGATGGTCTTAGGCGACCCCTGGGAAAGGGTCGCGCGACCCCCAGGTTGAGAACCTGAATTAAGTAATAATAGTGAGCGGTAATCTACCACTTGAGCGTCAGCCAAGAAAAAATCCAGCTGTTCCGGTTGGAAGGGCAATTTAAACAACTATTCTTTTATTATTTTTAATGACATTGGTTGTACGTATTCATTCCCATAATTAATAATAGACAATTTTTTTTTTTTAAATAGAAAAACTATAACAATTTTTTGAAATAGAAGATAATGTGGAAAATGGAATTATGCATAGTTCTCCCCCAAGTTGACAATGAAGTTTAAAAAAATATAATTTCCACGAAAACAGTTGTGGTACATGAATCCACGTAAATATGAAGGGGAAAGATCAATTATTTAAATGTATTAGTATTGTGCTATATAATATAACTTTATAGCCTCTATACTCTATACGGAAGCAAAAATATTATCAGACTCCAATGTAAGAATAGTTGTTCCAACCGGTACAACTGGATTTTTTCTTGGCCGACGCTCAAGTGGTAGATTACCATAATAGTATGAGTACCAGTACCAGTTGACAGAGTCAGAGTTGAGTAAAATATTTTATTTTTGATGATTGACCTGTTAAGTGCATCAATAGAACCTTCAACTGCAGTTCCACCATTAGGGCCACTTTCCTTTAAAACCCCTGTAATATCTAATATGACAGCTTTAATACCACAGTTTAGTTTAGAGGAATTAGATGATATTTCCATTATAAAAACAATGTATGTTGAAGTTTTTATTAGCGAAGTGAGTGCATGTACCGCGGCGAAACCATGGACTTCGGCCAGCCCATACTTATACCACCGCGGTGTACCTAGAAAAGACCATAGACTTCTGCCTGCGTACACACCGCGGCAATAAATTACCATTGGACTGGTTTTGAGATATGACATGACTTAGAGTACCTGTGTATCTGGTTCAATTCTCAGACACCGATAAAGCTTTACTTATTACTAAAAGAAATTTTCATCACAATTAAACATATATTTTATGATTAAATTATTATATTCATTTGTAAAATAGTAGTTAATCATTGTGTTTAAACTTCTAAAAGTTGTGTTGGCATTTTTAAAACTCATAATAAGTCCTAACCACGACTCCTAAAAATGTTTTACAAAAGTTACAGTGAAAATTATAATTAGCACAAACTCTTGGGACCAAAGCTTATGTGGTGCTATTTGAAGGGGTGGTGCTATTTGCAGGGGTCATGCTATTCAGAGGTTCAGCCAGCATGATGATCACGCTCAGTCATTTGAAAGAAGGAGACGTATTTACATTGAAAATAAGAATACCTGATAAACTGCAACTCCAGCGAGTGCAAAAAAAAAAATATTTAAAAAAAATAGGGTGGGGGGGGGGGGCTCGGAAATTTAAGAGGCCTAAATTCGTGGAGAAAAGATTAATAGAAGGCATTGTTAAGTGGCAGGGGTGGGGGGCGATAAAATTGCACGTGACGGTTCTGGAGAATACCTGATAAACTGCAACTCCAGCGAGTGCAAAAAAAAAAAATATTTAAAAAAAATAGGGTGGGGGGGGGGTGCTCGGAAATTTAAGAGGCCTAAATTCGTGGAGAAAAGATTAATAGAAGGCATTGTTAAGTGGCAGGGGTGGGGGGCGATAAAATTGCACGTGACGGTTCTGGTATGATAACCACAGAACAATTATGAAATGAAGCGTGATATGTGCATTGTCACCATTTCGACCGTCTTGCTTTCACTATGCTTTGGTGAATTTTACCCACGATATTTACTGGTCATTCACAACCCCCATTCTCGTAGCAATCTTAGGAAGCATGGTGTGTTCCATCACGATTTTAGATACACAGCGTGGTAGCAAACTGATTATCGAAGCAATAGGTCTATGCTAACCCTGTTCATGACGTAATTTGTTTCCAGCGTTTCATGGCAAGTGCTATTTTCAGTGTACAATTTGATTTTGTTTCTCAGAAACATTTGCAGAGTTCGCCTTTGACAAGAACATCGATATTTAAATATTAAAAAAATAATTACAAAATAGATATATGCTGGCGCCCCATGCAAGCTTAAGTTTGCCCCCCCCCTTTAGTATAGGCCTAATCATTAAAAAAAATTGTCTATGGGAAAAAAACTAGGCATTAGGTAATAAGTTTATCACTTAGGTTGTTTTTTTTTTAAACAAAGAATGATCTATAAAATTATTTCCTTTTAACTTGTATTTGGATAGTATGAACAGGTAGCCAAGCGATGGCATTCTTTTTCCTCCTTTTTAGATCAGCAAATCTTTTTATTGCACTTTCTATTTTTCTTCCATGGCGCCCACATGCAATGTTTTTTTCCTAATTTAGAAGATCGTTTAGAGCGCCAGCGCCTTAAGCACATGGCGCCCAGGGCAGCTTCCCGAGTTGCCGGCCCTGGTGCCGGAGGATGAATTAGCAAGAACAGAGCTATTTCGAGGTTCACTGTTCACTGGTTTCACTGGTTTCACTGATAAAATGTGTTTTAAAAGGCATTTTTCTATTTAAAAAAAAAAAAAGAAAAAAAAAAAAAGAAAAAAAAAAAAAAAAAAAAAAAAAAAAGGAAAAAAAAAAGGTTGCCTTTCCTTATTTTTAAAACTTCAGTTTCTGTAACACATTTGGGCTAGGAGTTATTAGTACTAAAACTTACCCCCTTCCTAATTTTCCTCGAATTGCATGCCCATGAACTATATTAATTTTCGAATGCCCCACTCCCCTTTCCCATCGCATTATCTGTATATTTAAAGAATATGGTTATTCATTTTAAAAATAAAATCTATACCGACAAAGGCATACATGAACCTGTATCAAGATGTGTAGGCCTAGAAGATAAGGACTCGTACCGGCACTTAATCTTTTTTAGTTTCATTCATCAGAAAGCTACAGCTTTGTGTCCTCAAATGGTGGTCGGCGGATGGGCGCCGATCCGCGAGACTTACGTTGCCGGGCCGTTTATGTTCAAACACTAGCACATTCATCTTGCTGTCCTCTCGGATACTACATTATAGCTAAGTTTTTATTTTTAATTTTATATTGTTTTTACATTTTGTTCGCTGAAGAAGGCGTCTCGCCCACACGTTCGTTGTCTTGTTACGCCATTTTTCAGGTTTTCCCATTCTTTGTTTCGCTTAGTGTTTCATTAGATAAACCATGGGGTGTTAGCGTGCGTACACCGCTGCAATATGTGGTCTTTGCCAATATCTGCCTAGACGTGGCGTGCGTACGCACCACTGCAATATCGTGGTCTTTGCCAGTATCTGTCCAGACCTGGCGTGCGTACACCGCTGCAATATCGTGGTCTTTGCCAGTATCTGTCCAGACCTGGCGTGCGTACACCGCTGCAATATCGTGGTCTTTGCCAGTATCTGTCCAGACCTGGCTTGCGTACACCGCTGCAATATCGTGGTCTTTGCCAGTATCTGTCCAGACCTGGCGTGCGTACACCGCTGCAATATCGTGGTCTTTGCCAGTATCTGCCCAGACCTCACGTACACCACTGCAATATCGTGGTCTTTGCCAGTATCTGCCCAGACCTGTACTTTTTAAATTAATGTAATGCTAATGTTATAACTAGTAATTATCTTGTAAAAATTCATTAATCCCTGCACGCAAGGATATACAAAAGAAGAACTTATATTTTGTCTTAGATTGTGCACAGGGTTTCGAGTTCCCCAAGATCGCTTGGGAACGGCATTCCTGTAATATATTTTTGTATGATACATATAGCGATTTTTTTTTTTGGTGGGGGGGGGCGAAATTGGGAGGGGGAGATCTTGTATCAGTTCAGGGGCGTCCCTAAGGTGATACCCTCACAGTGGGGTGACACTAAATGGAAAATGCAATTTTGACAGAGTTCGCTCAAGTCGGTTTCATAACAAAACTCAGTTAAATTATTTAAATACAAGAATACAGTGCCATAAGGACACCGTGTTACCAAACAGGACGCCACGAGAACAGGGTGCCACCAGAACAAAGTACGTCGGAGCAGGGCATCACCGGAACAGCATGCCACAATACAAATTTGACACCAGATAAGTTTGCCACCAGAAAAATGTGTCACCATATCAGGGCATGTTTCCTCTACAGTGGGTTACCACCAGATCAGAGTGACACCAGAGGGGGCGGAGAAAGGGTTTAACAAGTGAATAAGTATATGAACGTCATGTCATGTGGTGTTAGTTTCCATGTGTCAGAATTAGTTTATTCTCCAAGTTTACCCTGTTTGACACACGGCACAATTGGGGTTAAAGCAAAATCCTTTTAGCCCTTGTGGTAGCTTCTATTGAAGTGTTTTGAAATGGGACACTGCTTATCGTGTTCGATATTTCGAAGGTGCTCAGTACAACAGTCCGAGAGGCGCCGTCTAGTCTCACCTAGATGCGTAATCTTGCAGCAGGTACAGACAATGGCTAGACAACATTCACTTAAGGGACAACAGAAACTGTCCCTTACCTGAAAACCACCCTTACGGAAGGTTTTTTTAAAAGCCTGGATAACAAAAGGGCAAGCTTTGCAACTGCTGCGTCCACAGGGCTTAGTTCCAAAATGGGAGAATGAAGAGTGGATGCGACAAAGCACAAGAAGTTCTCGCATATTTTTATTTCACCTGAAAACAATGAGAGGCGGGCTGAGAACATTTTGTGGTTGTTATGGTCGGCGAGGAGAATGGCTTGATTTTTAAGGAAATAAATGTTTGGCTATGAGGATTATATGTGATGATAAGTCCATCCTGTTGCCGTTGTCACATGGACGAGGCCATTGCACGACTGATGAAAGTACTGTTTCCGGGTAGGACCTACACCGGAAATAGTCAATCATCTCAAAGTGCTCCTTCCCAAAAGTCATCATCAGACTGGCAAAGTCGACAAAGACGAAGTAGTTGAGAAGAGGGAATAAAGCCATTACAGGTGGGAAGAAGAATTTCACACGAAGATAATCAAGGATTCATTGTGAGTAGTATCCTTGACCTGAGATGTATATTTTTTCAAATGTGAGCGAGTTGCGCAATTCGTCATCCGCACTCTCTCGTTCTTGCCAATAGCAAGTCTAAGAAGTCAAGACGACTGGAAATAGACCAGGATGGAGTAGATGACCATCAGTGTGTTTGTGTCTTACACTATGCTCTTTTTGCGTTCTACGTCGTCGCAGGAGCTTTCAGAATTTTCAATGTGTCAATATCATAAGTCATAACCAGGGTTTCTTCCCCTTGGAAAGCCAAATGCCCCCCCCCCCTCGGAGCAAAAATATGTCCAACAATAAATCAAC